TGATGGCTGACCGAAATACTAATGCAGAATTCAGGAAAGGAAAGTGAGGGAAGATCCTGGCTTGTTCAGGGTATTGGCCCAGAGAAAACATGTAGAGTGAAGAGGAAGTTCCAAGATAGAAATCTGCAAATACCAACCAGGAATGGGACAAAGAATTGAACCTTTGATGAAGACAGAGAGAGAACGAGAGCAGGTAAGAAGAAGAAAAGCAGAGAAAGCACAGAAATGATGATAGAGGGTATTTCAGGAGGAAATTAAATAGAGACTGAACTGGAGTTATATTAGGGAGAGAAGGCTGATCAGAAAGTTTCCGAGGCAGTAAGAAGAGATGTGAACCAGAATCCAGGTGGAAGGATTTTTTGATGTATTAACTTACTGGAGAATGTATGATGGTGTGGGAGAAGTCTGAGCCAGGTGCGCCGCACTCCTGTCTCCTGAGCTAATTCGGAGACCTTGCTAAGGCTGAGCTAACTCGCCTAGGTGCCTAGATGCTGGGTCCAAAAGGCTACACCTCCGCCCCTAGTCCATAACTCCTTTGCCTTGCCCAAGAAAAATCACTCCATGGTGCTTCCAATAAGATATCGCCAAATGTTAAATGCTCCTCCCATGCTCCGCCCTCATGGTTGTCCCTATATAAGCCTGTGCATTTCCGGAATAAAGGGGAGGTATTCCAGAAACCTCCCAGAGTCTGCCTGGTGATTTCACACCTTTCCCTCCCAGTCCGAGCTCTCAAACCTTGTTCTGTTAGCAGGCTCCTGGATGAGCTGGTGCCCAAATGTGGGGTTCGCATATACTGGGTAAATACTGAAGCTGTGGGTAAGGATCTCTATTATGGGTAATCTGTTAAGTCAAGAACGGCTGGTACAGGCCGCGTTAATGAAGGGTCCTCATGCTGTAAAGTCCTCCGTGGAGTCTCCAGCCCAAACTCAGGTGAGTGTAGGGCCCCCTGAGCGCTCTAAAGATGGCGGACAAAAGCCTCTTAAAAGCGATGGCATGGGCGGCCGGGCTGTCTCTTTTTTCTTCTTCCTCAGAAAGGCGTCAGCCCCGCCCACTTGTTTCTCGCTTCCTGTCAGTGCATCGGGAAGAGCCCACCTTTTCCGGTCCAAGATGGTGGCCTCCACCCTGTGCGCCACCATTTTACCAATCTGTGGATCTTCTTCCTCCTCCGACTCCGAGGGCCTGCGGTGGGCGGGGGGGGGGGGTCTCTGCCGGGAATCTGGGGTGGCTGGGGCAGCAGCAGGTACAGGTTCCATTGCTCCAGGTCCAAGGCAAGTGACGTCCCCAGTGGGCCAGCTGGCGAGCACAGGAAGGCCACAGGGGGCAGCGGAGGTGGTGGTGGGGAGGTCCAGGCTGCCCAGGGCGTCCTCACTGTCCAAGACCAGATGGCCAGCTGCAGCACTTCCAGCAGGCTTTCCGGGACCTACAGAACCTCAGCTCATCCAGGATTTGAGATCCCAGGACCTAGCGAAGGCCTGGAGAGAGCAATCTCATCTGTGTTCATCACCCTGCCCCCCCCACCACAACGTGGCTATGCCCGAGGAAGTGTGGCAGGTGTCTGGGGAGGCCTGGCATGGCCGTCCCTGGGAGCCCTCCCTCTGAAGGCCCCTGGTGCTGGTGCAGCTGGGAGACCCTGGACCCTTCCTGGCAGGGCCGCAGCCGCAGTCCCCATTGCACCTCCTCTTGTGCAGCCCTCACTGCGAATTCAACACAGGCTGGTCCTCCTCCCTCCCCAAATCAGCAATAGATGTGATTTGGAAATCCCAACCGATTGACAAAAAATGCCACACAGGCCTTCAGAGAAACCGCCCTACTGTTTCAAGATTTCTGTGCTGCTATTTTAAATTTACAAACCCAGATAAATCCTGTCTGGGAAAAAATTCAGTTGTTAGAGACTAAGATTCTAAGCCATTGTCATGCACATTTCACCCATATTTGTGTTACTCCTTATCATTGTCAACATTGTAATGATTATAAAAATCTGTATATGAAATTGTATATGAAAAACCTGGGATCCCATATACAATCAACATTTACAAACCTTGACTCATACTTGTTCAGTTAAATGACACACAGTCTCTTGATGTTGTTACTCTTAATAATATATGAGAGAGAATCTGGTTTGGCATTCAAGCTGGGTGCAAAAATCTAAGATCCTGGGTTAAAAGTCATTTATTAGAAGGTCTGTGGAAAGCAATTTTGAATCTGTGTTAAAAATGATATTTGTGGGGGATATGTTTCTACGTAGTTTGTGTGCTAGAGAGAATACAAGATATATACACCCATCTTTAACATTTTAAATTTGTATGTGTTTATGCTACACAGTTGTACATGCACATAATTTGTAAAGAATTGTTTGTGTGTGTTGAATGAAGAATGCTCAAAAATTCTATGTCAATAGGAAAACAGCATAAAATTTTTCAATATTGCTGACCTAGAGATTCCAAGTGTTCGTACTAACTTCAGAATTACAAAGTATCAAAAAATAATGCTGCTTCTTTAAGGAGCTTAACTGATAGCACAAATGACAATGCTTTATTGTAATCATTTTAAATCAAGAGAAAACTTGTTCCATAAATATGCAAATAAAGGAAACAGGAAGAAGAAATACATATATTGTCATTTTAAGTCACCTCTACTTGCTTGCCTTGTGCTGTCCTTAACTAACAGAATGCAGGTTAAAGTCTGTACCAGACTTGATGCCCTACAGCAACACATTCCACTGAAATGTTTTTCACTGTTCTTTATGGAACAAGTCTCAACATTTCAAAGATTAGAAAAATGACGTTATGTTTCTGTAGTTTCTTTTAATACATGTAATTGAAGAGAGATGAAAATGCTGGATTGTATTTCTAGTAGCTTTGTTGTTGGTGGTGGTTTTTTTTTTTCTTTTTATTGCGTTTATTGGTACATTCTAGGTATGCAGTACAGCTACATTCATTACTGGGATCTTGTACCTTTACATGACAGGTCTTGGTTCTCATTTTTTCCCCTTGTCCCTGACCTCCCTTCACCCCCACCCCCGTCCCCTCCCCATTTCTAGTAGCTTTTAAGGAAGTTCTAATGTTCCAGGGAGTGATTTTCAATGTCAAATTCACCTTTGTCTGAAATCCCTGAATTAGAGCTGATGGCCCCTCAGAACAACTTGTATGTCTTCAGGAAAAAATATGAGGCATGATGGAAGAATACTACGAATGTTTAAATGTTTAAAAATGTATTACAGTAAAAGAAGACACTTTGCCATTAAACCCTCTTGAGCTACTCCTCCTGGCTTGGAACATTTACTGTTCTTGCCACTTTCCAAAGAAGCTACTTTTGAAGTCCTCTTTTATGGATAGGTGTCTTTGTTTGCTCTGTTGTGGCTTCCTCAATATGTTGAATCAATTCAAAACATTTACCTTTGGGTCAGGGCTTTGGCTCAGTGGTGCCACCACTTGCCTCACAAGCACAAGGTCCCAAGTTTGATTCCCCCGGATACCCCAAGAAAAAACAAACAAAACATTTATCTTTTATGGTCATTTTGACTCTGTGGAGAGCCAGAAGTCACGTGATGAAATTCCAGTGAACAAGTGGATGAGGACAAACCACAGTGTTTCACAAGCCTGCCTTTGTGTTGGACGGCACTTGGCAGCATCATTCACTAGGCTTTCTACCCCATCTCGTAAAGACGCGAGAGCAGGCATCCAGAATCACTTCAGAAAGTGGCAAGGATAGGGTGTGTTTGAAGCAAGGGAGATTCGTTTTGAGGAAGATTAATGGCAAGTCTTTTACTGCAATAAATTTTTAAAATTCAGACGTGCCATATATTGCGATTATACCTTATATCTGTGAAGCATCTGACACTAATTACACAGCAACCTAATGGTACCTTGTAGGAGGTGGGTTGGGGATACTATTTTTTTCTTTTACCTAGAGAAAGTACCCCAGGTTGGACCTGAACTAGGTTTCTTCCAATGTGAAGAACAGGACCTGGGGAAATGTCAACCTCGAAGGAGCACAGTTTTAAATATTTTACCTTCTTTGTAAAAATACCGAAAACTCAAGAGACCATTTTTTGTTTTGTTGTAAAAGCTATTCAGCCTACAAGATTGAATTATACCTCCTCCCCTCAAGTTTAGTTCAGTAAATTAAACTTCATAAACAGGCACACACTTGGCTCTGGATAAAGAAAGGCTGGGAGGAAGTCTCCTGATGCTCTGACAGCAGTGCAACAGCCCTCTCTCATTTCTTCCACTTAGTGTAAAAGAAGCCAGGTACCACTTAGTGTAAAAGAAGCCAGGTACCGAGGGGTCCTCCATCTGCCTCGCAGTGAAAAGCGGCTGCTCTTCTAGCTAATTCTCCCGTTTAGGCTTCTAAGATCACGAAAAGGGAAAGAAAGCACTGGCCTAAGTGCACATTCTTTGAGCCTAGGATGTTACAACAATAAGAGGAAAGCAGAAGGGAAGGAAGAATCACCCTCTGCCAAGAATTTAAGAGGCACTTGCGTTTTCTGTCTACTGTGGAAAGAGAGCAGCTCTCCTTTCTGGAGTAAGAAATGGGGACGTGCTTCACACCCTTTGGTTGAAAAATAAACATTTCAGAATCTCTGGCAAAGCCACCAGACATTGCCCTGGGGACCCGCTGGCTGATGCTTGGCACCGGCCCCGGCGCGGCACCTGTCTGAGGCAGTCGAAGTTGGGCTGCAGGCCTCGGGGTCTCTGGGCCACCCACCACGCCTCCTCTGTGCCTCTCTATAACCAAAGCGCCCACACAAGTGACGCTGAAGGGAGGGTGCTGCTTTAGAAGATGCCTGACAATAAACCCACCTTGTGCGGACTCGACATCCCCGGAGTGCGTGTGCGTGTGTGTGTCCGAGCAGCTCCGCATGGCTGGGAGCCCGGGTCCACGTGGAACTGCTGCACAGCCCCCGCTGCCTGCTCCCCAACCCGGCAGATCCCTCCCTCACGCGCCCAGGACCCAGGCAGGTCCCTCTGGCGCTGAGGCACAGCCAGCGCCGCACTTACCTTGACTGAGCGCTAACAGCACCCACAAAGGCAGAGTCCCCGCCTGTTCTGTACTCATCCTGGGTCAGCACTGGGGAAGCGAGACGCTCTGAGCTTGCAGAGAACACGCTGGACCGAACGAGAGGACGGTCTGCAGACCCTGAAGCTGTCAGGAGTGCTCCCACCCTGCCTAGTGAGAGCTGGGAAAAGTTTCTGGCAGCTCCTGCAGCGCTAGGCCCGCCCCTCCCGCAGAGCAATAAAACCGGATCTGCCTGCCACGCCCCGCGGAGCCCAGCCCCGCAGCCCGCGGCTGCACCTTTGCTGCACCACACCCTGAGAGCAGCACCTGGCTGTCCCCGCCCAGACCAGCCCAGACTTCCTGCAGCTGACTAGTTTGGGGACAGCGCGCCTGAAGTCCAACGGGCAGCACAGGCTGGGTCGCTACCAGGATCTCCTGGAGAACCTCAGCCCCCCAGCTCTCTGTGGCTCTCGGCCGGAAAGTGGGGGTGCGGGTGAGGGTCAAAATCGCGGTGCACAGGTTTCCCTGCCTACCCGGAGTGGGTGGAGAAGGGAACAAAAATAGGTGCAGAATGACCAGGTTAGAGACTAACTCATTTGGAGAGAACTGCTCTCAGGTTATGATTATCCGAGGTGCTACTTATAGCAAGGCCTGCTGCAAAAGCTCTGTGAAGGTGTGTTTGCGTGCGTGCGTGTGTGTGTGTGTGTGTGTGTGTGTGTGTGTAAGGGGGAGGGAGAACCATCCCTCCTGGAGAGCAAAAGGAGCTGAATTGATTACTGAATTGCAGGGATTTTTTTCAAGACTAGTGGGAAGGGTGAGAACCCACAGATGACCTCATAAGCCTTCAGTTTAGTCTGTGTGACAGTTTGACATTTTCTTCCATTGTTTCAGTTTTGGAAAGAAAACACCTTATAAGTGTATCTGAGATATTTGACTTATAAACCTAAAATACAGAAAATTCACTTTACATTTTTTTTCTAAATCTGATTTTTCCTCCAAGAATTCACCCACAAATTCCCAGAACAGAATTCTTCCAGTGACCACTTTCAGTGCAGTAGTCACATGTTCTCGTAAATCAAGGAGTTATTTATGCAATCATGATTATTAGCACCATTCCAGATCCTGAAGGAGCACTGCTACTGGCAGAATGGGGTGCCTGGGATGGGCCACTAGTGCACAAAACTCTTCCAGGTGGGAAGGACTTAATTGGTCAAAATCAGATGCTGTGTAAAAAATTTAACCATATGTAGTCTTGAATTCTGAAAGTATTAGAATGACATGTATCAGATGTTACCGTTTATGGTCAGGACTATTCCAGGACATTCCTGTTTTCTTACATGTCACTAACTAACTCTTGGGAGCTCTGATAAATGCTTCAAGGTATTTTTTCTGGCCTGTCTGTGGTACTCACTCGCTTACTAAAACACCAGCTACACCTGAGAGTTCTTAGGTGGCCCCTCACTAACCCTGACACATAATCTCAGCCCCACACAGATTTCTTGTGGGAAGTGAGCCAGGTTTCAGGGAGATGAATATCTGTCTGGTTCCATCTGACTCATGAAATGTGAGTAAGTGTTTGGAACAGACCCTTGTTTGGGAGACAGACTAGTTTGCTTAATGTGCTTTGTCTCTGGGTGCTGGAGGGTAAAATGAACCTTTACATTTGTTCTCAGATTTGGACAGATTAACATTATACTACCAGGAGGTGCAGAATAGAACAAGAGCTCTATTTTTCAAGAGCAAGCCAAAATTCTAGTGAAAAGAAAGAGCAAACTCTTGCCTCACATGTATTTAAACAACATAAAGGGTTCTGGAGACAAAACCAGTTTGAAATCCTCTGCCTCATTCCTCCTACCTAGGAGCTCCTCCTACCTAGGTGTAGTTGTGCTGGACCTCATACTGTGAACAGGAAATAAGCAAGTCAGAGTTTCTTAGCTCTCCTCTCAGGAATCCTGTACATCTATCAGACTTTTAAGAACTTTTGTGCCTGTGGAATATTCCTATTGATGTTCACCATTAAGAAATTAAGACATCATTTTCCAAATACTTATAATCAATATTACATAGCAATAAGCCTATTACATGCTAGCATAGCACACATTTTATGAAAATTTTATTCCTAAAATAGACCATAAAAAAGTGGAATTGTTCTACTTTTTGTCTATTTTAATACCTTCCTTTAAAAACCTAATACCTTCCTTTAAAAAGACACAATTTGATTCCCATACCTGCTTTTGGCAATCTGGCTCTTGTGATAAGTAGTTTTGGTTGAATCATGGATAAATGTGATATCATTTAAGTATGCAGGTGGAAAAATGAGAGACAATTTTTTGATAATCCCCTTTTACTACACCAAAACTCAACAGTGGTAGTTTCTTAAAGTCTAGTAGAAATATGAAATCTGAAACTACATCAATACGTTTCATACTTTGTAGTATTCAAAAATTTTTGGTGTACTGACCTCCCCCTACCATGCCTAAAGGTGCCAGTACTTGTCATTTTTTTTCTTGCTGACAGGGAAGAAATGAAACACAATGAAAAATGCAAATAATACTTCTGTGTTATTAGGAAAGTAATACTGACCACTTGTGAAGTCTTGAGACACTCAGAAACCATACTCTGAAACCACTTAGGAATGGACGTAGGTCCTTGTCTCTTCCTTCTTTTAGCTCTAGGCAACAATATTTGGGGGCAAAGGGTTCAGATGACTTTTTCCCAGTGATTTCTTCTGATCACTTTTATCTCCATGGACTGCTCTCCTTTACTTCTTTTTCCCCCTTCATATACAGTCACCTAGACCAGAAGCCTCTGCTTTCCTCCCCAAGGCCACCACCAGCCCACCCTGCTACCACACCAACTCTGTCTTTATCCTTTACCGTGGTTGTCTGTGCACTATTTTCTGTCCTCTTCTGCTCATTCACCATGATGACACCTCATATATAATCTCTTTATGGTTTTTCTTATTTCCAGCCCATCCTTTATACTTGCAATCACAACTTTCTTTCTAAAATGCATGCTTGATTGCCCGAAAATCTTCCTGTATCTGTATGATAATTTGGGCATTTAAGATCACAGTTGAGCCCAACTGACTTCCATATTCTGCTTCACTATTTTTCTGTAGGGCAGACTATATTTAGGCCAAATTCTCCTGTTCACTAGTCTGCCTCTCCTGTTTCCTTTTCTAATTCCATAGCTATTTCCCTACTCATGGCTTTCTCATTAAATGTTGAATCTCTTAAATCCTTTTTGTTTATATCACGTCTATTCTATACTTAGTAAATTTCTAGTAGTTAATAAATTGAAATGAATTTCTTAGCAGTTTCACCTTCTTCTTAGAGCTCTGAAAAGGATTGTGAATATGAAATTCTATGTAAATTCTAGAAAGTTTGAAATGAAGTTAACGAGTGACTCCTCAAATGTTACTACATGAATCTAAGTCATGACAGGGTGAAGTTCAGAATCCTTTGAACTTGACTCACCCACAGTTCTCCAGGAACTGAGTCATATATAATGTCTTAAAAATAAAAATAAAGACACTTCTAATTTTAAAACAAACAAAATGGCAAAACAAAAATAATACAGGTCTATGCTCCCCACCTTGACCCTTCAATACGCTTACAAATTTTTTCATACTTCTAGCTCTATTAGAGTTGATGTCCTTATTTATTTTGTGTATAGCAGATATTCCACGAAATCCATGGGGTTTTGTCAGACTCTCCTTCACAAGTCATTGAGCAGATGCACAACCCTGCCTTATAGTCAGTGAGGTAAACACCTGACCCAACCTGGAGCAGATTCTTTCTTCCAGGGATTTATATTCAGGATGTAAGGGTTTTAGAGTCTTTGGACCAGAGTAAGTAGGCATTTGTGTTCACTTTGGAAACCATTTTATTTAATAAATACAGAAAAAATTCAATCAATTATTTAGAGAAAAGAGAGATCAGAAAGACCAAGAAATGGAGCTGGTGGTAGGGAATGGGTCCCTTTAGGTTTTTGCCCTCTATTTTCTGTTTTCAGTCATCTGGAAATCTAGCTATTCTTTCTACCTTTAATTTCATGAAATATCCCTGTGCCCTCCTATCTTCTCCTTAAGATTTGAGCAGATTTCTATTTCATATACTAGCCTACCTTTAAGACGAATATCTCACTTTTTCATGAGAAACCCTTAAAGACAGTGAACATGTCTCATTAACTTCTAAAACTCATGGTTTGTAAGACAGGAACTAACATCACATTGATGCTCAATCATTACTCATGTACATTACTAATGAATAATGCTCATTACTAATGAATAAATATATTTTTTCAATTAATATATTTGTTCAACTGTCTAATGTCTTTAAGATGAAACAGACAAAAAAAGTTTATATCTTACAATATGGAAAAGCTTAGTAAAGGGAAAACATTGTGCATATGCTATTTAGATTTTTTCTTTTTAAGAAATGTGTTTTATGATGGATCACCACTGCTTATGGCTATCTGTTAGTCTGCCATGTCTGGAAAATTTGGATATTTCTGTTAGACAATGGTTACTTTTCTTTTCTTTTTTCTTTTTTTTTTTTTTTTTTTTTTTTTTTTTTTTTTTTTTTTTTTTTTTTTTTTTTTTTTTTTTTTTTTTTTGGTATCGGGGATCGGACTCGGGTCCTTGTGTTTGGGAGGCAGGCACCAAAACCACTGAGCTAAATCCCTGGCCCAGACATCAGTTACTTTTCAAACAGGGAAAAAAAGAATATTTTTAGTTAAGGTACAAAAAATGGCTAACTGAAAGGATATGAAGAAATTTCATAAACCTGAAGACATGAGATGTAGTGAAGTAGGAAAAATATAACTCCCAAACTGTTAGATATCAAATGTCTCAATTTGTGGTCTTGCAACATTGAGGAATGGAGTCTTGAAACAAAAGAGGAAGTTAGCAGAATTTTATTGGCAATAAAGGGAAGAATAGCTCCTGGATTTGAAATAGAAGTCCCAAATAGGTAGCAACCAAGGCCCTTTGTCAGGGGTAATTTATACTTGGATCAAACTATAATCAACCTAAAGGGCTACAAGTACTGTATAGCTGCTTAGCTAATATTGATTCAATAGGGAAAGAGTTTTGCAGCAAGAGTATATGAAAAGAGCAAAAGCATTTTGAGGAAGGAATGGGTCCATATGTTCTGGTCACCTGCTTGGGTGTTT